TTTATTGTACACCTTTCTGTTTATAATCATCATTATAAACACACCAGAAATTTTAGAAGACAAAATATTGAAATAGCAAGCCCTGTTGTATACTCTTTCCAGTTGGAAAAGATTGAGTAAGTTCTCATTAGTTCTCCCTTATGTTTTTAAAACATTTAAAATAGTAATTCATTTCAAATATTTCTGAGGAAAAGAACATATGTAATAATGAAGGTTATGTATACATCAGTGTATACATTCTTCTGAACTGAACTTCAGGAGGCATGTTTTTAATAGAAGAAAATTAATATTTTCTCTAGCTAAAAATAGGATGAGCCAGATAGATATGTATATTTAGACTTTATATGCTGATTTTTGCTACAATTATTCCAAAAGTATCAATTACATAGTTATATACAACTATATTTGCTTTCAAATTCCACAAAAAGCTACCAAAACTATTCTAATCTCCAGTTTAATTCGCTTGTAGTCTTTATTCTTTTTTTATTACATGGCAAACTTTAGAAAAACACTTTCTTATCAAAACACTTTGTTTTCCTGTAATGATCTTAGCTGCAGTTAACTATTTCCCCCTTTAAATCCGGAGTGTGTTCTGTGCCAATTTTGTGCAACACCTTAGTACTATTGTGGATTTTATTGGTAAGTATAATTGTAATATTCATATCAACATTTTAGATTAGAATTTTCATAAGAAAGGGTTTATGAAGTTTGCAACAATCATATATGTAACACAAACGGCTTTTCCTGTAAGAGATATTAGTCCTTAGCATCATTACTCTGAACATGAGACAGTGCAGTTGAATTGATTTATTGCTAAAAATCTTTGCACAGGACTCTTCTCAACTAATGGTCAGCACCTGTTTAGAGTTAGATAAGAGTCAACTGAATTCAAGGCTATGTGAGGATTCTAGGCTGATCCCTGTTTAGACTCCTCCTCCTACACTCCTCCTACAGAACTATGAAATGTTTACCGCTATAATTAAAATAAGCAAGTTAAATTGTTTTTTAAAAAAGCTAGGAAACTAAAATATGCCGCTGTATTTCTTCCAACAGGTGTTGGAGTTGGCAGGCAACGCTTCGAAGGATCTTAAGGTAAAACGCATCACTCCACGTCACTTGCAGCTGGCCATTCGTGGGGATGAGGAGTTGGACTCCCTTATTAAAGCAACCATCGCTGGTGGAGGTATGTCTCACCATAGCTTCTGAATTCTAACTACTTATCCAAGGCTATTCAGTAATGCCTGTGTCAGAGGCTCCTATTTCAGTACACAGTAGTCCTTGACTTACAACAGTTCAACGGCACTGAAAAAGGTGATTTATGACCATTGCTGCAGCATCCCCATGATCATGTGATTTACATTCGGATGCTGCACAACTGATCCATATTTAAGAGGGTTGCAGTGTCTTAGGATCACATGATCCCCTTTTGCGACCTTCTGACAAACAAAGTCGAAAGGTAATCCAGATTCACTTAAACGTATTACTAACTTAACAACTACAATGATTCACTTAACAGATGTGGCAAGAAAGGTTGTAAAATGGAACAAAACTCACTTAGCACATTTCGCACTCAGCAACATAAATTTTATCTCAATTGTAGTCCTAAGCCAAAGACTACCCGTACATGTATTGGACTACATACTTTGGTGTGGAAAAAAATGAAATCCAACCTATTTTATATGGAGAAATATTTGAATGTTGGAAAAAACCTTTGGCAGCAGTGAAATTTATGGAACGTTTAATGTTTTAGGACAGTTGATAAACATTCTACAAGTTTGAAGTTGCCCAACATTCCTGAAGTGAAAAATATTATTACAAAATGTTCCAATTCATATTTTTGTACGGGGTATTACTTTATATATACATCAGTTCTGCACTGTTGTCCTTACGATTTGTCTTAAATTAAGACAATATATTTAGCAACGCTGTATTCCCAGTGTTAATTTTAATGGAAACGTCGAGCAATCATTGTGTAGTCTTTCCTGAATCTTCTATTCTTCTTCCGTGTCTAGATCAAAATTTAAACTGCCAGAATGAACCACTTTCTTGGCTTTGTCATTGGCCAAAAATAAGTCATTATCGGTACATGTTTCTGGTAGTAGCCGACATACCAGCAGGTGGACTGGGCTCTGCATCTCGCCACATTTACACAGTGTGTTGTTATCTGCAGAGAGCCTCCAATTGAGCGTATTGGTTTCACATTTAGGCCCTCCGACTCTCAACCTGTTCAGGGTCCTCCAAGTAGTATAAGGACATTTTCCTCTTTTATAAAAACCCTTTTAAATATCGGTTGAAGCGTGCAATTAAAAGAACAGTAGTTGCTTGAAAGTATGAAGTTGGAATGGGGGAGGGAAGAAGAGGAGGAATTGATGGGTTTGTAAAAGTATTGATCAGCCTCTTAAATCTTGATACAATCATGGCTATGTCTCCTGATCCTTTGCTCTCTCTTTCTTTCTCTCTCTCTCTCTCTGCAGGCGTAATTCCTCACATTCACAAGTCTTTGATTGGAAAGAAGGGACAGCAGAAGACTGCGTAAAGAGGCGCTTTCGGCAGCCCGCTTCCTCCCTGTCATTGTACTGTAATTGGGACAGAAGAAATATGGGGATATGTGGAATTTTTTAAAAAGAATAGTTAAATGGAAGAGCATAGACAATTGACTGTAGACTTAAAACATTTGTATGTTCTAGATTTAAAGTTTGACAAAAAAAGTACCCTGTTATGTGGCAGCAATTTGTGTGTTGATTGGCTAGGTTTCTCCCATGTGTTTTATACAAAAATGGAACTGATAAAACCATTTTTTACAAAACCTATTCTTGTGTGTCATTCTGGTATACAAGGGATAAATCCAGTAAAATTAAATTGAAATGTTTAGAACAGTCACACATTCTAAACTTGGATATAGCCACAATCATGGTTATCATACCTTTGTTTACTCTTGCTTATTAACATAGAAATCAAAGTCCAGATTTTAATGTCACTTAAAATAACTTTTATGAATTTTAACAATACAGCTTTTTTTAAAAAAAATCTTTTTGCCTAAAATCTTTTCTCTAAATTCCTACGCTCCACAAACATGGAAAGTTTCGCAGTATCATATTAGCAAAGATGCCCATCCTGAATTTTGCTGCTCACAGCTGATAATCTCACTGAAGGTGGTGGCTTTGCAGTGAATACTGCTGTGTTATTGACCCAGCAGAGTTGCTTTTGTTTCAGTATTATTTTGTTTTGTTCTGACAAACACTTCATCTGTAACAAAATGCTAAACGAGCAATGCTGCCTTAATTACAACTGGAAAGGTTACCATTTTGGTATCCCTCTGAACAAGAGCCAGTGTTTCTTTCCACTGTTAATTTTCAGAACTGCTTTACATAATAGAACTATAGGCATTTTGCTGATTAGACATCCTGGTCTCAAATCTCCAAATTCTTGGCTTGCCTATAGTTGTTCTCAAATTAACTTGTATGAAATTTTATCTCCGTTATAATTCCAGGCTTACACTGATTAGCAATTTTAGATTAGTTATCTAAAACTATAAGGAGTGGCAGTCTTTAAAGGAGATTATTGTTAAGAATTTTGGATTGAAGGAGGTCAAATAGGGTTTTGGTGGTTTCTCCATTCTTATCCGTGTGGATGGCTATTTGTATTTTTAAGTACTATTCACTATATTCCTGTGCATTGTAAGTAATTTTAAACATTGTCCATATTAAAATAGCTTTCAAAAATGCTACATATGGTAAAAGTGAGTGAGGTGGAATTATTTAGGGAAGTTAGATGCAATGACCAATTTGGATACGGAGGGGGATTTTGCGTTATATTTGCCGATTCCATGGTATCTGGCAATTAATAAAATACTGTCCTAACAAAGGCGATATTTATATAACAAAGTAGATCTTTGAATTTGGCATAGGTTTTTCCCACAAGATGTCCCTTCAGTAACAGCCTTATAGCAAATGAGCACTGCTAGGAATAGGGCGTTTCTTTTCTTAGGAACATTAATCAATATCACTCTTGTATAATTGATAACCTGGACTGACAGCTACAGAACAGACAAGGCTTCTGTTACTAAAGGCTCAGCATTCCAGGAGTTGGAACTTCCATACTGGAGATGCTGCAACTTTTTATTTTTGACACTGGATTAACAATGTCAACAATGCTTTGCTAATGAAAGAGGCTGTTTTCTAACAGATAAATAAATGAGAAAGGATTGATTGGAGTGAAAGGTTATTTTTGTCAGAGGCTGAAAACAACTAATTTCCAGGCCATTCGTTTAATGCATTAATCACAGTGCAGAAAATTAATACACTTGTTGCCAAGATCCAAATGTTATTATTTGGCCACGTTTTAGCTGAAATTGATGTAAGTTTAATGGAATACCTGTAGATTCCATGATTAATTTAATTTACTCATTATTTCTTAGGTGTTGATTGAAAGAAATACTAAAGGCCCACAATCAAGTGCCAGTGTGTCTCTTGGACAGAAAGGCCACTGAGAAGAAAAGCCTGGTTTTAAACTCTAATTAAATTATTTCTCATGGCGAAAGTCTTACCTGGCACTCTGGAGTCCCTGCCAGTCAGAACTGTGTTAGCTAAATAGGCATCCAAATAGCTTAGTTTACAGGGTTGAGTCAATCCGGGGTTGGCTAGAAAAGAGAGGCCAAATCCAATTCTTGCAAGCTGTTTGTGGGAATATGGGAGCAGAGGCCAACCATGTAGCTTCCCCATGGCTCATTAAATACAAGATTTTCAGGAAGAACAATGGAGCTACATCCTAAAGCTTAAACCAGGGGTGTCCAAACTTGGGAACTTTAACACTTGTGGACTTCAATTCCCAGAATTCCCCAAGGTTGAAGTCCTCAAGTATTAAAGTTCCCAGGTTTGGACACCCCTGGCTTAAACTAAAGGGTTTTTTTGGTGTTTTTTTTTTTTGCAGAGGTGGAGGCACCATAACCATAAAGAGCATAACTTCACCTGCTGGGATTCCTAGAAAACACTTAAAACACTTATCAAAAAATGCTTTTGCTTTAAGTGATTTCCCAAAGATCTTAAAACCTCCAACTTCAGACTTGGCTGTTTCACTCTAAATCGAAGAGTTGAATTTCCATTTTGAAAGAAAAATGGGAAGATTTTTAGTGGGAATATTCACGGAAAGCCCAGCTTGGTCTCGACACCAGACTCAGCACCAGTTGAAAGTCCGTCCCACCATGGCAAAAAAGTCCTCATTGTGCTGGCTGAAATAGGTGCAGAGTCTCTCCAGCAGTAACTCATCCACGGTGGGGTGAGGCCGGCCTTTCGACGGGTCAAGGCAGTGCCGTTCTCCTGCGGCCTGAAGGCAAAAGAAGCCTTTGGTCTCGTTGAAATAAAAGTTGTCAGGGCCTAGGTAAGGCTCCAGCCCCAAAAACTGTTCCACGTGACGCATCTCTGAGAGCGGCTGGCGTATTAAGCCACCTCCGTCTACTACGTGAATCTGTGTCGTGGGAAAGAACTCCAGCCACCGAGCCAAGTGTAGCGCGTAGAGGCTGCGTTGCATGGCCTTGTAGTCGGTGTTCAGCTCTTGGCCCCTTCTCAGGATTTCCTCCAGCGACTGGTATGGTTTCTGCCGCGCTTTGCGGTTGTAGAGGATCTGGGTGTAATCGGACACCAGCCTTTCCACAGGATCCCGCACAATCAAGAGGAGCTTCACAGATCTGTCCATGGTATAAATGCGTTCCGGGGCTTCTAGGGAAGCAAAATAGCCTGGCGTTTTTTCCACAGTGATTTGAGTGCTGTGGGAATTGGGCATCTGTTGGCTGTACCAATCCAATCCCCTTTGGTAATTCTCTTCCACGTTGAAGAAATGGATCTCGGAGTGAGCAGCAGCCACCTGGGGATGCAGGCTCAGCATCTCCAGCAAAGCCCGTGTGCCCCCTTTCCTCACGCCAATGATGATGCCCTTGGGTAGCCGCTGCTTCCAATCCTCATCCAGGGCATTGGAGTCGTTCCTTTTCCACTGGTCCAGCAGGTCATTCATGACATCGGAGTCGTTCCTTTTCCAGTTGGTCTCCCAGCGTCCTTCTTGTGTGTGAATTTCACACATCTTGAGACATAGCAGCAGGAGGCAAACTCTGGCCATTTCTGAACCTTCTCTGAGATGAGAAGCGTAAACTCTGCAATTCTCAATCCTTCACACCTGAGCTTGCTGACAGTTCGTCCCGTCCCCCCCGCCCCTTTCTAGCTAGGATGGGACCCTGCACAATGTCTACTATCAGCTGGTATTTCACATTCCACAGTCCAGGCTCACAGCAATTCAAATTAACCCTTCCGCAGAATGATATTTGCTTGAGGAAGTAGTTGTCACCTGAAAAAGATAGAAATATCATCACAAAGCTCAAGTACCTTTCAAATCTGAAAGGCCAACGATGCAAGGCAAATCTAAACAGGCAGGTATAGTTAGGGGTTCACCTCTTGGGCTAAACCATCACATATCTGGCTTTGCATATGTGTTAGTGAGTGGTACAGTGGCCTAGAGGTGGCGTTCTTGCCTCGCAATCACGAGGCTGTGAGTTCAATCCTAGGACCACAGTGAGAATATATCTGCTGAACAAAACTCCACATTGGTGACAGGAAGGGCATCTGGCCAGTAAAGACTCTACTAGCTCCATTCATACTCCATCCCACAAGGGATTATGGGGTTGTTAAAGGACATGATAATGTGTTAGCCCAGATTGGTAATTTGCAAACCATAACTTGCTATGTGTTTTTATATTTTATCTTTGCAAATCTCCTAGAGTTGCTTTATCGGTGACATGGGCAGCATATACATTTAATAAATAAATATAAAGACATATTAAATAAAATATGGATGCTAGTTAGCTTTGGGTCTAATGAGTCAGGGAAACCTCGGGAAGGATCGCCAACTACTTCAGTGTTTTTCAAATTTGGCAACACTGAGATGTGAGGGTTAGGAGAGTAGTTCACTGTGAAAGGGATCTAGGAATCCTCGTGGACAACCACTGGAGCATGAGCTAGCTGTGTGCTGCAGTGGCCAAAAAAAGCCAATGCAATCCTAGGCTTGCATCAAAAGAGGGATAGCATCAAAATCACAAGAAGCTTTAAGGTAAAGGTAAAGGTTCCACTCACACATATGTGCTAGTTGTTCCTGACTGTAGGGGGTGGTGCTCATCTCCATTTCAAAGCCAAAGAGCCAGCGCTGTCCGAAGACGTCTCTGTGGTTATGCGGCATGACTAGATGCCGAAGTAACATGGAACACTGTTACCTTCCCACCAAAGGTCGTGCCTATTTTTCTACTTGCATTTTTTTACATGCTTTCAAACTGCTAGGTTGGCAGAAGCTGGGAAAAGTAACGGGAGCTCATTTTGTTACGTGGTGCTAGGGATTCGAACCGCCGAACTGCCGACCTTGGCCACTGAGCCACCGTGATAGTACCACTTTAGATTGTACTGGTGAGACCACAACTGGGATACTGAGTCTAGTTTTGGTTGCCATACCACAAAAAAAAAAAAAAAAAGATTCTGGAAGGTAAACCGCCTGATGAAGGGTTAAGGAAACTAAATATGCTTAGTCCAAGGCAGAGAAGGATTAAGAGAAGGTGACATGATAGCCTTCTTCTAGTACTTGAGGGACTGTCACAGATGAGGGGATCAAGATAGCAAGATAAGAAGCAAAGCAGGGAGATATGATCTGGCAGTAAGGAGGAATTTCATTTCATTTTTCATTTTTCATTTTATTGACATTTATAGGCCGCCCTTTTCCCTGAGGGGACTCAGGGCGGCTTACAATTAATGGGAAGGGAGTGTAAGACAAAACACAAGAAAGAAAAAAAATGTGAATAAAAAAATAAACCGATAAAACACAACATTCATTCAGCATTCGGGTGGGGCGAGGTTCGGGTCTTATCCCCAGGCCGCTCTTAAGGCGGCGGTGGTGAGACCCCTCCTGAAGAAACCATCTCTGGATCCAGCCGTTTTAAACAACTATCGTCCAGTCTCCAACC